TATAGAATATTTTTAAAATAGATATTGTATATTAGAATTATTATATATAATTAAATTTAAACATATATACATTTATAATATTATATTAATTAAATAATAATTTATTATATAATATTATTATATTTGTAATTATAATTTTAAATACATATGTGTATTCTATCTGATGGGGGATTTAAATAAATAAAATTATTAAAACCTCATAAAAATATAATTTATTCTCGGATTATTTCGATCGTGGGTTGTTGGTTACTATATCATTAAAATCACGATAATAATAATAACAAATCACAAAAATATTTTTACAAAAGTTGACACGATTCGTAGAAATAATTAAAAAAAAAAATAAACATTTAAACAAGTAATACGCATGAATCCGACAGATGGAGAAAAATAATTATCTTTGTGTATTCTCAAGAAGAAACGAAAACAAAAAAGTTTTCATTCGTTAAATCCGACACTTTATTAAAACCCGATATAAAAGATAAAACATAGAAAAAAATTGAAGATTTTTCGTATGATGGTAGTGGTGGTGGAGAATAAGAATAGTAGTACATCCCTCATCTTGCCACTCGGACCGGTAGTTAATTTCACGATAATTAACAGCGCGTTGTCAGATGTAGTCAAGTATGCCAATATTCAGGAATATAATTACGGTATAAATTCTTGAGTCAAAGGTTCAAGGTAATAAGGCTATTACGATTGGTCAGAAAAACTTCTTCTTCTTCTTCTTCTTTTGTATATCTTTTAATCTTCTTGTTGTATATCGTTTAAACGTTACTTATATACGTACTTCTATCCTTTTTAAATGGTCCTTCATGCGGGAAGTAAGTATGCGAATTAATGTAGCTGTACCACTGTTCCATTGGTCTTTTTATACATCTCGTTGCGTTTATCGTGATTTTATCGTACTTAAATTGATTTTGATTGTATTTGCTAAGACGACTATTACCAGTGACCATGTCCATTTTTAAACATTGAATTTGATATCTAAAAACAATTCATTTCTAATTTTATTACATCCTGTTAATACCAAACATTCCAAGATATTTATATACGATATAATATCTACGTTAATACTTTTCTATTGAAGTGAAAATTATTCAAAGTATATAATAAAATAATTAACAATACTTAAAGTAACGAAATAAACATTGTTCAATTAGTTAGATACAACACTTTTATTATTAACCAACACTGATACAATTTAGTAGATAAATATATACACTTTTATAATATAATATATTAAACCAAAAACAAAAGTATAAATAAATAAAAAAAACTATATTGCAATTATTATTATCATCATTGCTTTTGAATCTAGTCAAGAAAAAAAAATCCCCCTAGGTTTAAAAGATCAAAAAACCATTCCCTTCCGAAATCAAATGACTACGTCGGCAACGTACGAAGAAGAAGTGAGACTTCTATCGTATTTATCACAGGACACAGCGAGAGAGAGAGAGAGAGACAGATATAGCCTGACTCGAGCCCTTCCAAAAATCGTCCACTGACCCTTCCTGTGCCCCCGACTTTTTCGACAGGGAGAAACAGCACCGAGAAGGATAGAATATAGAGGATAGAGAGTATATACCTGTTCTTGTTCTTTTATATACATTCACATACACACTATCTCAATTCTCAGGTACGTATCACACATTTAAAGGCAACTGGTCGCACGCAGTGTTGTACAATCTTCTTTCCCTCTTCTTTCTTTCTCAGTCCCACTTGGTGGAGCACGCGGCCCAGTAAGCACGCGTACGCTCTCTTCTCTCTCAACCACCACACATATATGTGAATATACATACGTATAGATATGTGTGTTGTGTTCACGTACATACGTACGCACGCACGGCACGGCACGGCACGCACGTTTCAAGCTTCGAGACTTTACTTTAAGAGATGAGGCCTCGAAGAACGGTGGTGGGGCAAGCAAGCCGCTGGATGGAGGTCGGCATGCGCCACCTAGTTGGGGAGGGGAGGACGGCTCGCGTCACTACTCCCTTCACCCTCCGGGGCCCTACCTTGCAACCCCACCTCTCCCTATCAAATCTTCTCTATCTCTCTTTCCTTCCTTTCTTTCTTCCTTCCTCTGCGACAACCGCCGTCGGCTTTTCGTTTTACTCTTTCTCTTTCTCCCTCTCTCACTCTCTCTCTTTTTCTCTGATGTCTGATGCGTCCGCCACGGATCTCTCTCCACCCTCTCCTTCTTTTGCTTCTCACAAACGCGTCTCGATCTTCTCTCTCCTTCTTTCACTCTTTCAACTTTATCTTTTTCTTTACTCTCTCTCTCGCTCTATCACTCTATCTAACTCTTTCACTCTTATTGCTTCTTTTTCTTCTTTCTCTTTCGTTCCTCTTGACCCATGGACCAGCTTTTCTTTCTCCCGGTAACTGTTCAAATTTCGATCCTCGAGACACAGACCAGCCGCCAGTGGGGATGTTGGTCCCTTCGTACACACTTACATCGCGTCAGTGTCTCTCACGCAACTTTGTTATTGCTTCTGTATTATCACCTAGGTACCAGGGTAGATATACTTTTGACGCTATCAATAGGATGATAACGATGATGATGATAATAATGATTTTATATGCAAATATCACGCCATTTATTCTTTCAGATTAAATTTTAGGATCATTGTATTGGTTTTATTGATAAGCCTAATTTATTGACGTTTATTAATGAAATTGATCTGATTGATTAACGTCGTCCTGTTATTGTTTTAATTCGCATCAACTTCTTTTTAACATTTAACTAATGTTAACTTAACTCAGAGTTAAAGTTAACTAAATATATTGTCTTTGTACACATATTCATACTCGCAATATTCAAAACCATTCAAAACTAAAAAAGGTTTAGGACTTATCGGAACTTGAATATCTACTAAAAAGATAGTAAAATTAGTAGTAAAGGGCACAATTACAGTGAAGATCCTCTGCAAAGAGATGAGAATCTCGGTCGTAGCTGTAGGGTCTTTGGGACCAGTATGGTGGGGGATGGACGGGGTATGAGCAGTGAGGATCGATAGGTAGAGGTAGAGGAAGAGGGGTTTAGGGCCTGAAGTAATGGTGGGGATAGGCGCGTGCCTTTCCGGCTATATAAGACCGAACCCTCCCTGGTAAAGCATTTCGGGAGCCAGAACCGTTCACTGGAGCGTCGAGGGTGCAATTTTTATTCACGTTAACGTTTTTAACAATCTGTTTATAACACGCTTATCAATATACCTTTTTTCCGGTTAACTTTTGATAAAGTGTAAAGACGCTAAATAAACGAAGATAACGAAAAGGGATAGAAAAAATAAGAAAAAGAAAGAGAAAGAGAGAGAGAGAGAGAAAATACGAACGAAAGATAAGAAGAACTAGAAAAAGAAAGAAAAAGAGAGAAACCGATTGATAAGAAGAGGGTTAGACTTCAAGCGGCAGTCTTGGTTTTCTTACGCCATTACTTGGATACACGTAGAGAAGAGCTCGTTCTTCAAGGTCAGCAGGCACGCGCGAGAACTCCTACTTTCGTAGTGGGGGTATCGGATCAGATGACCTTTGTGGGATTAAGGCAGGAGAATTCGAACGTAATGCCCATCATATTGAGCGTGCAGCAACAGCATCATCACAATCACCATGGTCTTGTATCTACCGTAAGACCCATGCAAAATCATCGGAGCAATGTAATTGTTTCGACAAATAGTATGTCAAATAATGATATAAAGAGCTTGCAATTACACTCTTGTAAGAAAACAAAAATTTATGGTCAAACAACGGGTGCTTATGGTACTGTACCTCATCAGCCGGCTTCTGTGGCGAGACGTAACGCACGTGAAAGGAATCGAGTTAAACAGGTGAATAACGGATTTGCCACTTTGAGGCAACATATACCCCAAAACATCGCTCAAGCCTTGGGTGGTAATACAGCTGGGACATATGGTGGTTCTAGAGCAGGTAGCAAGAAGTTATCAAAAGTTGAAACCCTTAGGATGGCAGTAGAATACATAAGGGGTCTTCAACGTCTTTTAGAAGAGAATGATGGTAAGGACATTTCTTCGTCGCTCATCACCCCTTCGCAATCCACTACTTTATCAACGTCACCTACATCCACGTGTATTTCTTCTACCAATGGACTCAATAACGATACCAATCATCGACCTACCGAACTCAGAATATGTGACAATGAATTACAACAACATCACGCTAACCCTACTCTTACATCAGATATTCATATTCATCAGCATCTCGTGCAAAACAATAGTTCGGTTTATGGACCAACATCCTGTTCGGAATCATCGAGTTCACCTACGCCGAGCTTCAACTCAGATTCATCCTCCCCCGGTAGTAAGGGTTACGGAACGTCCACGGGTGATCCTTATGCCTCTCACTATGACGATTACAATTACAACGAGACCCTCCTAGAAATTATATGTAAATGGCAGGAAAGCTAAAACCAACAACGTTTTCCTGATGATACTTCTGTATCGTCTTCAAGGTTGGTGTCATTTAACGATTATTATTGTTATTGGGTTGGCAAGTAAATAATTGTGGATTTTGTCGATAGGTGGCTTTTTAAAATCAATAATGACTTAGTTGCGAACCCAATATTTTTCATTCTATCTATCTATATATTTATTTTATTGTTAGAGCATGCATAACACACACACACACATTTCATTTTATCATATCTTTTAATACATAAAAATAAAAAAAATAATATAAAATCATATTCGTTTGTTATAACGATAAATTTTTGAAATATTTATCATTTCAAAACTTTGTTTCTATTTTCTAAAAAAAAAAAAAAAAAAATTATAATAAATCCTCTCACTCTTCTTTTTTTTTATTCGTTGTTTGATATCGGTGTCGTAAATTTTTGATATAAGTATGAACGTTTTTAAAAAGAAATCTCAGAATAAAAAATATTACGAGTAAAAAATTGGTGACCTTGCCCTCTCACAATGGTCGTCAGCGAGCCCTTTTGCTAAAGCTTGAACCATTCAAATAGCAGACTCCATTCAAAGGGGGCACCGCATAGAACATGAGAGAGAGAGAGAGAGAGAGAGAGGGAGAGAGAGTGAAAAAAAGACGCTTTTGTATTACTACTTCTTTTTCCACCTATGTATTACTCATACGCGTGAATTTAGCGTACTTCTTTCGTCGTACACGTGTGCATATATGTGTGTATACACTTACACACACGTTCACATATCAGAGTCGCGTCGTCCTTATTCTCTTATACGTTTTTTCCCCTCCTTCCTCACCTTTTGTCCACGCGCTACCGTTCCATGAACATGATTCGTTCTACATCGAACCTCCTCTCATGCAACCCCCCTCCTCTCATCCCTTGCTACCCCTCAAAATCCTTCTTCAAACGCATTCAATCTTCCTATACTTGTTTTGTTGTTTTTTTTTCTTTTCGTTGTCCTTTTTCTATTTTCTTTTTTTTTTTTTTAATGTTTTTTACTTTTGCTTTTTCTCACTATCATTTTTTTTCCACCAACTCTCGTGCATATACCGAAAAAAAGTCAAAAATTCGAAAATCGTAGCCACGTGGAAAAATAGAAATTTTTTTTTTTAAAGAATACAACCTACACGTGCACGGGATTTAATTTTTTACAAACTTACTCGGAGATTTAAAATTTGTTTTCCCTCTATTTCTATTTAAAAAAAAAAATATCCCTATTCAAAGAAGATTCCAAATTTTATCGAAAATCATTTCATTCGTTACTTTACAACTCCCATTTGTTTCCAAAAAAAAAAAGAAAAAGCTAAAAAATATCTTAAATAAAAAACCTATTCTAGTCGTTATTACATCGTATACCTTTTACTTCTCGAATATTCGATAAAATCTTTTAATCTTGATGGACGTAACTTTTCCTTCAAAAAAAAAAAATCCCTTTCTTGAATGGCATAACCTCGCATTCTTTCGGAATTCTTATTTTCTTTTTTTCTTTCGAATCTTTCTTTTTTTCCCTTTAGACGTTGTCGTAGTAAACGTCATAGCTAGTTTCTTCTTTCGAATCTTTTTAATTCCACTACTCCACCCTATAAGTCCCTATATTTCCCCTGCTACCTCCACCCATTTAAAATTTTCTTTTTTTTATTTTCGTACGAAGGAACGAACCAACCCAACCAACCTTTTATTCAAAGGAACGATTTTGTTTAACGCACGTTTAACTTGAATGAATCTCTTTCAGGATACATCATTCCCCCTCTTACCAAATCCCTTCACCCCTCCTCATTCCTATCCTTCCCTACTCAACTTCTGTCGGTTTCTCAAACGGTTTATACTATATATACTCTATCCTTTCTTATTTCTTCCCTCTTTTTACCTTTTTCCTTTTTATTTTCTTCCCTCGTCAGTTTTCCTTTCGCTTATTTCAAACTCCCCTAAAAATACCTTCGTAGTCCTGAAACTTCCCCCTCCCCTCCCAAGGTTTCCCTACGTCTACTTTTCCTTTTCACTCACTACTTTTGTTCCCTTTCCCTCCCAAATCATCATCATCATCATCATCATCATCATCATCATCATCATCATCTTTTACTTCTACTTCTACTTCTACTTTTACTTCTACTTTTACTTCAACTTTTACTATTTATTTCTACTTCTACTTCTATTTCTATTTATTTCAAGACCCTTACTGAGTACTAAAAACTCTAGTGCAACCTGAAAATCATCCAGTATCAATTTTTCTTTTCTTTTATATTTGACCTTATACCTGAAACTTCTATTTCCTTTTTTTTTTGTTCTTTTTTTTTATAATCTTCCTTCTTTCATATAAAAAACATTCCTTTCCTATAATAATAATAATAATAATAATAATAATAATAATAATAATAATAATAATAATAATAACTGACATTTAAATAATATTTTAATATATTGCTGGTTAGGAATTTCTTTTAAAGAATTTATTTCTTGTCACTGACTATTTATAATTGAATTGAAAAGTATAGGAATATAAATATTTTTTTAATAAATTTTCCTTTTTATTACACTTTGAATATTTTTTTGTTCGTATGATAAATAGTATAACAATAATACAAAACAATTTTTACTATTGTAATATTTATTTTCTTTGCATGTTTTCCTTTTAAATAGTGTGATGTGAAAAATAATGATGCATCACGAGTTCACTCGTGATCGGTCAACAAAGTTAAAACGTGATTTTGTGAGCTTGAAATATTTTTGTTGTCTTTTTTTATAACCCCACACTTCCCCCTCACCCTTCCATTTAGTTATTATGATATTATTTTTATATGAATCGTGAAGAAATTGAATTCCTGGACTGACTGGTTGAAACTTGAAACTCACTTTTGGTATCATCCGACTTTCGGGAGACTGATCTAATCGTTGAACTATTCAACCTTTTTCTTTTCTTCTTCTTCGGTCAAACTTCTCTGCGAATGACTGTTTTTTACCTGAAATAGTAGGTGTTAGTTCTCACATGCATTCATTTTTTTTTCTACACAAAACAAATTCATGCAACATTGTTCATTTTATGACAAACTTTTCTATAATTTTTTATTTTTAAGGTTCTTTTTTCTATTATACTAATAAAATGATTATTTCTTTTTGTTACAGAAATAAAAAAGATCAATTGGGATGATTTTGTTAAAAAAAAAAAAAGGAACAAAACAAAAATCGAGAAGTACGATACAGAAGACAAAGAACAATAACATTTGTTGAAATATCTGTGATACAAGTACAATACCTCTCCTTCTATTTTATGCACATACATGCCTTAACTTGTATTAGTTAATTAAGTTTAAATTTAGAAAAATTGTTTGGGTTTATTGTTCCAATATATTGTAAGATAAATGACGCGTGAATTTTATTAGTATTTTTAAATTGTTTGAATTTTTGACACGTATATCAGGCATAATAACGGTCTGATACTAAAATAGTTGATAACAAATTTTTAACTTATTATATGTGACGATCCTTTTATTTTATTTTTAACTTTAAGTATATTTTTTTGTTTTTCACAAAATTTAACAACAAGGAGATTTATTTAGATGATAGTAGAAATTTTATATTAAAAAAAAAACAAAACAAAAAAAAATTTAAAAAAAAAACATAAAAAAAAAAACTTAAAAATAACAGAAATAATTGACAGAATATAAAAAATGCAACCTGAAATCGATGTATGCATGAGCGAGAGAATGTGTGTGTGTACGAGTGTGTGAGATGCTAAAACATGTATAAATATTAGGTCTACCGGAAAGTTCTGTCCATTCTGACAAACACCGGTTCAATGTTTCATCACTAGGAATAAGACATTTAAAAAAAAATGCAATATACAAATTGTTATCAAGTTGTGGTAAGAAATTATAAATAATTATAATTTATAAATATTAATCAATTAAAGAGATATAAAAAAATTTGTTACTTTTGTTTTATTTTTAAAAAATCGGTCAGAACTTTTCGGTAGACCTAAAATTATTGAAAATTATATAAGAAAGATATTTGTAGATATTTTTATGGTAATCAAACCGATAAAAAGGTTGTTGCTCATTCCAAAGTATTTTAAAATTTTTTACGCTTATTTATATGACCACAATCATACAATCAACTAATTAACTACTCGTATGTTATCTTAAGAATTATGAATTTTCGACAAAATTATAAAAAGTTTATTCAAATATGTTCTGGGCATAATTGTCGAAAAAAATAATTCGTTAAATATATTAACACAATGTTAAAGAAGAATTATTATGTATGTGTTTATTTTTTTAATATCTATCACAAACATCCATTCCTTTCCTTTTGTTTCTTCTAATGTCATAACAAAAAAAAAGGTAATGGTTAAAAAAATTGATGGATTATTATTTAAAAAGTTTTACCAATAATTTTAGTGTATCTTGAATAACTTATAAATATTTTAATAATATTAGTGCGAAATTTTTCTATAAAAATATTTACAAAATCTAAATGTGGTACTTCAACAAAAATTGACTGTGAAATATAATACAAATATTTTTATAAATATTTATTTAAAAAAATATATTTATTATTATATTATAATATATTAATTAATACTATAATAATATAAATAATACTATATATAATACTATTTTAGTAATATAATATATATATTATTTTATAATTTGTATTATTTATAATTTATTATTTAAAATCTATATATATATTACATTTGTTATATTATTTATAATTTATTGTATATATTATATATTTATATTATTTTATTTATTATATATTTTATATATAATTTTATATATTATATTAAATATATAATATATAAAATATTATTTTAATTTATTAAAATATAAGGGTATTATTAAAATACCCCATATTACTAAAATATTAATTATATTAATAATTTAATATAATAATATTAAAATAATATTTTATATATTATATATTAGATGTATATTTCATGAATGCTACATCAATACGTGGAATACATCATACAAGAAACATCAT